GGAAAAAATTTTTATGCTGATAGGTAGACAAAGTTATGACAAAAAAACGAAGAAAAAAAAATCCGGAACAGACGTGAAACTTTGGCCGCCATTTTGATTTTTCTGAAATGATTCGATTTTTATTCAGACATAATGGCTCATCCGATTTAAATGATTTTGGTGTCAAATGAAAGAAGATAAAAAAAAAACATGACATTAGGAAGCCGTTTTTCGATTCTCAATTTTGCTTTTTTGCAACATCCGGTTGAATTTTTTCAAAGTTTGAAGGGTCATATCTCGTGATCGTGAACTTTGATGACCTTGACCTTCATAAGGTCAAAGGTCATTGACCTTAGCTATCAGTTAATACTTTGACATTTGACCTCCGACATGTACTTCCGGTTTTATAGCTGTCCGAAAACAGCCAAATTCGCAACTTTGGACTGCTCTAGCACGTGACCTATTTAACCTAGAGGGTTAATTTTTTCGGATTCTTAATGTGCTTTTCATGCTCTTTCAAATGATTTATAACAATCAGTTTTTTAAAGCAAAATTGAAATTCGTGAATTTTTCAAATTTGAGTTTTTTTTTACAATATTTCTGTTTCTTTGAGCTTGGTGTGTATATATCTTATGACCTATTTTATGTAGAACATTGAAACTTGGAACACAACAAGACAATTTGAATATAAATTAACCTATGTCAAAAAAGTTGAGGTGGGCGTGGCACATCCGGGTTGAATTACTAATTGTTTACATTTTGAGAAAGGGGCATAACTCGCATAGGATACATTTGTTCAAAAAGGAACTTTGCACACAATTACCTCATTATTTTGGCCAGTTTGTGTTAATAGGTCAATTGTTTCAGCTTCATAGTTCCAAAAAAGGAACGGGTTTTGCAAATTTCCATATTTTCAATTTTCTATTTTGACCTTTATTGACTCTTGTTGACCTATATCTTTTGACCTGTATAATGTAGAAGCTTTAAATTTGGAACACAACTTAACATTCAGAATATCAATTAACCTATGCAAAAGAAATTGAGGTGGGCCTAGCACATCCGGGTTAAATTACTCATTATTGACAATTTTGGCAAGGGACATAACTCGCAACGTATACATTTGTTCAAAATGGAACTTTGCATACAATTACTTCATACGTTGAGCCACGTTGTCTTCGAAGTTCGATTGTTTCAGCTTTATAGTTCAAAAAAAGGAACAGCTTTTGAAAATTCAAAATTTTCAATTTTTGACCTTGACCTTTTTTGACCCTGATTTTTGTAGGATTAAAGGTCATTCACATTGGCTATCTATTTATACTTTTATATTTGCTGTCCTATCTCAACTTCCGGTTTTATAGCCGTATATATTTAAAAATTTTGATGACTTTTATCTCGTAACCTTGACCTTTGTTGACCGTCTCCCTTTCAATGTCAAATGTCATTGACCTTGGCTATCTTCTGATACTTTCATTTGTGCGGTCTGTCTACTTCAACAATCTTCCAAAGAATTCTTCTCAACTTTAGACTGCTCTTGCGCGTGATGTAATTATCGTAGAAGGTTGATTTTTTCAGAGTCTTTTGCAATTTGCTACATTTGCAAAGTCCCACTCTGTGCCACGTGTGGCTCTAGTTTATTATTATTATTATATTATTTTATTATTCAAAATTATGAAATTTTCAATATAAGTATTTACATCGAGTAATATACACCAATGAAAAGCTTTTGAAATGTAAATTAACAGAATGCTCACTTTGTACATTCTGTAACTCCTGCCCTGAAACGATTGAACATCTTTTTTTTCTATGTCATTATGATCAAGTTGTCTGAAATTTTATACACAAGTGAAATTAGAATTAAATTATCTTCAGAATATTATCATTTTGGAATTGTGGACAAAACAAAATTCAAAACCAAACAACAGTGGCTCTTTGCAAACCACTTAATATATTTGACAAAATATTATATTTACAAATGTAAACTCTTAAATATTAACCCTAGTAAATTCGACCTTTGTAGATATTTGAATAAAATTTGAATTTAGAATTAAACACATATCCTAATTCAAAAATTTACATTGAAAAATGTATAATAAACCTGGAAAGATAAAAAAAAATGCAATAAAACCAATAAAATTATTTCAAATAGGATTGATTGTGCCATTATGTCAAAAGACAGTTGGAATAGAGTCAGTCGATAGACGACTATTAATAACCCTTTTAGGTCATGTAGGCCTTCTGCAAAAATTGTATAGTGCACATACAAATTGATCACAATAGGCCATTTGCCATTTTTTTCCGTCTGGGTCAATGACGTCTATATTAGAGTTATCCCCCCTTAACACCGGACAGACGACGCCATTTGTTTACACTGGCAACTGTCATTAAAATAGGTCAAGCAAATGAATAACAACTCACAGAATTTACGTTTACCCGAGCAAATACATCGCTTTTATAATTTTCGTATACCTGAGCTACAGAAGTATCTGCGAGATAGAGGCGTGACAGTTACAGGCTACAACAAAGAGGTTTTGAGAGAAATAGCTATCGCTGTCGATAAACTTCGATTGCCCGTGGACCCCGATTTTAGTCGCGAATCTGTGGAAGTTTGTATTGAGAAAAAACTACTAAAAGCCGGCCTTACAGGTGTAAACCCTTTTGAATTGGATGGTTATACCAAGGATTTCAGCTGTATACCAGAATTTGGACTCATTGATATATTCAATTACCTTATTTTTGCCAAGGCTGATCTTGATGGGAAGAAACTGAAAAGTTACAAGTCGTTCGAGGACTACAGACTTTACTATGACGGCCACGTTGAATTTCTCATGTACAATCCAGTTAGTGATACCTCCAAAACGTGCCTCTTCAAAGCTAAAGTCAAGCCTACACAAAGGGACAAAACATACCTACAGAAAGAGTTTTATGACTTATGGTTTGCAGTGGAAAAGGAAGATGGTTTTGTTATAACTGGCTATTGTGAATGCAAAGGAGGGTAAGACTAAGTTTCTTAACTGGAACTGAGAAATTTACTTTTTGAAATGAAAGAAAATTTAAAAAATTAGCCTAATCCCTTATTCCTGATATATTTATAAAGCAAATTTACTGGAACAATATGATATTATACGATCAGTAAGCCTACTGGTAATATTTAATCTTCCTAAGTTTATTTTGGAAAATAGAGTAAATAGAATTTGCCAATAAAATATACATATGTATGTTTATTTCATTTCAGAGCTGATGGTGCATGCAGACATTTGGCCGCAGCTTTATATGCTCTAGAAGCATTCGAAGTTTCATCATGTACTGAAAATATGAGAGACCACGACAACAAGATGTAGCCATACCAATTCGCAACTTACAACTTGTTAAACCTCAGTATGGAATGGCCCCACCAAACACATCTAAACCTCATAGTGACATGTTTGAACCTCGAAGCACTGAACATCGCTCAAATACAACATGGGAACAGAAAATAAAATTTGGTTTAAAATTACAACAGGTAATTGGTTTCCAATATATTTAGCCCTAAAAATTAAGGGTGCTTTCCATTTGCAAATTACATTTTGTGTTTTTCTCAAGACTGGTGTTCCCTTTTGGAAATCTTTGACTTATCAGTATATCCCAACCCCAAAACCATTTGCATATACATATTGTGTATCTCAATTATTTTTTTTGTTGTTGTTTTTTTATATTTTCAGATTTCTGATAATGCCCAAGCCCTTGATCTCTTACTGGATCCAGATACTATCAGACCATCATTACAACAGAATTCTGCTCCTGACATTGTAAATCTTTCAATTTTCGAAAAAAAATTTCCAAAATTGACCAAAATCTTCCACCTCCTATTAAATGGGGCAGACAGAAAGAACCAGTGGCACGTGCAATGTACCATCGATGCTTCAAGCGAAATCATAGAAACTTCAGAGTTATAGAGAAAGGACTTTTGATAAGTGAGAAATTCCCAGTCTTAGGATGCAGTGTCGATGGTGTGTGCATTTGCAGATGTACTCCCAAACACCCTAAAAAAATAATTGAAATAAAGTGCCCATTTTCTCACAGATTTTCAAATCCCAAAGATGTTGCAGTATTTAACAATTGTAAGGTGGATAATGTTACGGGTGAATGGTTAGTTACCCCAAAATGTCCTTATTATGCTCAAATTCAGGGTCAATTTGGTATTGATGTTCACCAGTATGCTGACCTTGTCATATATACTAAATGTGGTATTCATGTGTCATCTGTGACCTTTGATAGGGAATATTTCTCTAATATGATTGAGAAATTGACTTTGTTTCACAAGAAGTATCTTGCACCAGCAATTATAAAGAAATGCATACTTGCATAATAAATAATTGAAGCACACAAAACAGTTATTGTTTACAACTACACTTTTAATAAGTTATATTTACATTTCTACTATCACTCCCTTCAATAAACCAGTTAGCCAAACCGGCGTTTATTTTAGCGTATTTTATCACAAAAGATAAACCAATGTAAATATAAGGAATGAATGTGGATCTTGTTATCGTTATGGGGAAATAAACGCTGGTTTATCATGTGACAAGACAAATGACCCAGCGAA